CGGGGAGCAGCTGGAGCGGGAGCGCCGCCTGCGGGCCCGGCGGGAGGCCCTGCGCAAGCAGCAGGAGGATCGGGCCAAGAAGGGCTTGGGCTGGGACGAGATCCGAGACACGACTTTAGTCGTCCTTCTCCTCGCCGTCTTCATCGTCATAGGCATTCGTTCTTGATCGCGGGAGAAGGGGAGGGGAGCAGCCCCCCAGCCGCACCCCAGAAAACGGCCTTTCCCGTCTTGAACCCTTCGCTTTCCACAGTCTACCTCTGCTGGGGTCCGAAGGCACCGCTCTCCCCCTTCGCTTCCCCGCTCGCCCAGCTTAGCCTTTGACCCGCACCTCCTCTTCCCTGCGGTGCAGAAAAAGGAGGCTTTTCGGTGCCCGAGAAGGCGACCCCTATACGGACAGCCCTGAAGGCCTGAGAGTGAAGAGTTTCCTGGAGTCCCCTGGGTGCCTGCTTCCAGGGGTTGCCTTCCGGAGGTTGTCAACTTCTGAAACACTTGGCTCTGGCTTTATTGTCGAGCTCTGAGCAGAGAATTGTCTGCTCCGGCCCCGTGTTTGTGCTATGGAGCTCTGTAACCTTGAAACGTGCAATGTGGCCAGTTGTTAGCGGCCAAAAGAAAAATTCTGAGGTGTGCAACCTTGTCTTTCTGTGAGTTCCCCAAGCCACAGGTGAGACCTGATGCAGGCTACACATGTGATATATAGAAACCTTGCGATGGCCAGCCCCAAACCCCTCTCCCCCTTCTGCTGTTGGCATGAGGGAGTCGGGAAAAGCAAGGTCGTGGAGCATAAAGAATGAGTGTTCCTGTGCCCATACTTATCATATGACCTTGAAGAAAGTTACTCTGTGGACATGACGGCAGAGAGCAAACCATTTGCTCTCTTGAGGTTTGTCACACTTTTATTGTCCATAGTTGGAATGGGCTCAATGGTTAAAACATGCTAGTAGAGTCAGGTTTATCCCTGGGATAGTGGACCTGTCGCCTGGTTATCCCTTTGCCAGCTGGCCCTGTCCCTAACAGTGCAGCCAGTCCTCTCCCAGAAACAGAGCTCCTCTCAGTGTGGCCCCTCCTGTTTATCTTGAGTGCTTATTGCAGGGGTACAAGCCAAGTCCCGAAACGGTTGCTTGAGGCTGTGGGGAATTTTGGGAGTGCAGAGTTGGTGGGACTGCTGAGGACCAGGAGGCCTGTGGTGGAAACCCCTTGTTTAGAACTGCCTGAGTTCTAAAATTTGTGCTCAGCCCTTGGTCAGTCCTCACTTGGCTAGAGCAGTAGTAGTGAGGCTCTCTTAACCCCGAGTCACTGCACATAGGGAGTGCATGGCTGTGCGATTGTCAGTGCTCGGAGATTGATGCACTGGGGCTGCGTGTAAAGCTGTGGGATAGGAAAACCTTTGCAAGAGATCTACCACAAGGGCACAGGCCTAAGTCTAGAGTCTAAACAAAGCCAGAGGTGCTTTGGTATAGTAATACCAGTTCCTGCACTCACACTCTTGTGTGAAATCCTTGTATAAATTGGGATCAAACCATAGCTAGTTCACCTTGGGCTCTCCGATTCTCTCTAGCCTTAGATGTCGGGGGACAAGCCCTTAATCATGGCTTTGCAGTGACCACACACGGTTCAGTAGTAAAGATTTGAGCCCACCCTGATTCAGGCCCACTGTGCTCAGTGAGCCTTGATCTGGGGGTGGGGCGTACGTACTTTGAAAAAGAACATTTAATGTTATTATGTTTCATATTTGAAAAACAAGAGGGAGAGTGTTCTCTTTTCTTGGTAAAGAATTGTGAATTTATTAGGTCAATCTGGAAAACCAGGTGGGCTGAGCCCCAAAATGGCGCCAGCTGAGTGTTCTTTTTGAAATATAAACTACAATAAGTGAAGCTTAGTAAAATATGCAGAAGCTAGTGATTCCCAACCAAGGAGTTGGGGCATAACAGCGTCCTTTGGGCAAGATTCTATCAGAAGGAGTTGGAGTTCTTTTGGGCCTTGTTTGTGAAAGCACTAGTGGTCTGTAACAGCTGGGACCTTTTGCATGGGCTCCTTGACATAGACCTTTCAAGTTTGTTTTCTTTCTGTGAAGATCACAATCAAGAACATTTCCTGGGGCCCCAGAACATGGAAATAGATAAAAAGCTCAAGGAGGTTTCAGGTATGTGTGTGTGTGTGGTGGTGGTGGTGGTGTTGGGGTGGGGGTGGGTGTCCAGGCAATATGAAACTTTTGGAACATTCCAGAATATATATTTCATGCAGGGTAGTCAATAAAATTTTTAACCATCTAACTCAGTTTCTCCTTAGGCCTATAACTAGAGTGCCATTCTGCTTGCCTCAGCGATTTTTAGGCCAGGTTTGAACTCCGTAAGACCCCACTCCCTACCCTCCCTAAACTGAGTCTGGGCTTTTCATGGAAGGAGAGATGTGTGGGAGGCTTTTTGAAGGCCCCTCCAATGTTACCTTGTCCCCATAGTAACATTTCTCCCTTCCTACCTTGGGGAGAAGAGGCTGAACCAGGCTGAGGACATTAGCTGCCTTCTAGGCACTGTTCCCCAATTCCTGATCGTAGAGGACAGCTCAGACATGCTCAACTTTAGTCCATTTTTGACAGGAGATGGACAAGAGGGACCCAGCTTGTCCCAGGCTATGCTTATTGGGGTGGGAATAAGGTTGCAAGTGTAGTACAAAGTTGAGTGAGCAGCACACACAGTTCCTAAACGGGGAGACTCAGACAAGACAGGATCAAAGGTGTACATGTCTAGGCAATTGTCTTTGGACTTGATCAGGACTTTATTTCCCCTAAGCCAAATTGCTTTTCCCTCTGTTGCCCTTTATTTATTGCCGGGTGAAATCCTTTACTCATCCCAGTGCTGAGAGAGTAGGATTTCTTGCTTCCTTCTGAGGTTCTAAGCATTTGGTTCACAGGATGTACCTTACCTACTATAATGGTTCTAGCATGAGCCAAAACATATAAGAATAGCCTGCCTAAAGGCAGTGAATTGTCCATTTAGTCATTATTAACTCCACATACATATAAAACCATATGTACAGTGTGTGTGTGTGTGTGTGTGTGTGTGTGTGTGTGTAATAGCCTGAGGCTGAGGCAGCAAGGGTGGAGCCCAAATGAGTGGCCATCACATTCCCTTTTCGGAAAATCGTGAGGGTAGGAGACTGTGTCTTGGACCTTTTGGCTTCCTGGAAGGTCACCAGATCCCATGAAGAGAGGCTGAGAGAATGGACAACTGGTAAGTGGTGGTGCTACTTGAATTCACTCTCTCTCTCTTGAATTCAGTGCACGAGAAAAGTGGGCTCTCTCCTGGCCTTTGTCTCCTCTCAGTTCTCTGCCCTATGATGAGATTACACACTGCCACCCGACTATGGTCAGGATCCTAGGAGAAGGCTGGCCTTGCCTGCCCTCAGGCTATGCTTGTAGCCCTGGCAGCCATAGGGGTTGAGCAGAGCAACTGAGGGTCCCTCTGTGTTAAGGACCTGAGTTTGGACTTCGTGAACTTGTATATGCTGAGAACACTCTGCACTCATCCCCAAGAAGCCAGTGCAGAGTTCACCGTGCATCATGAAGTCATAGTGTCACTATGCGTCTAGCCATCATGCCACTCTCTCTTAAGGCTATCTGAACCTGAGGTCCTGACACTCACTAGTCTTGAGGTAGGTTGGCCCTCCCATCCTGCCTTTGCTTCTTCAGCATTCATATTTTCAGTTCTGGAGGGCACTGCTACTAGACAAAAGAAGGCCTGTTTCAGAATGACCAAGAACAGACCAAGATTCATGGTTCACACAGTGTTTGGCTGTGGCTGGCATAGTGTCTTAAAATAACTAGCCAATATTCATAATGGGGGGGCTTTGCATGAAAATCTAGATTTCTGACTTCTCTCAAAAAATTATGCCACAATTGAGCTCAGATAACCACGTTAGTGCCTGGGAGAAGCTGTGACATCTGCCTTTGAGATAAGATATTTCTCTACATTTCACTGCACTCCCACCATCAGAGGGAAAGTATGCAAGGCCTTGATACTTTGACCATTTTGCCCACAGTAGAGAAATATCTCTATCCCATATCAAGAGGAGAAATTTTTTAAAAGGACTGTACATTTCCAGAAAAGATGGGAGAGGGTGTATTTCTTTGTGGGAATGAACGGCTTTGCACCTCTGTGATTTTCCTGGCCCCTACAGGCATTTGAGTTTACAGCATAGGTAAGAGCTTACACTTTATGCGGGAGGCAGAGTGTAAATCTTATTTTCATGTGGGACAAGAAGAATCTTTGAAGAGGTCTACAGCAGTGGTAAGGTCCTAGACCAGTGATGGCGAACCTTTTGAGCTCGGCGTGTCAGCATTTTGAAAAACACTAACTTAACTCTGGTGCCGTGTCACATATAGAAATTTTTTGATATTTGCAACTATAGTAAAACAAAGACATATTTTTGATATTTATTTTATATATTTAAATGCCATTTAACAAAGAAAAATCAACCAAAAAAATGAGTTCGCGTGTCACCTCTGACTCTCGTGTCATAGGTTCGCCATCACTGTCCTAGACAAAGCCAGAGGTCCTCCCTCTGCAGAGTACTATAACCCCAGTTCCTACACTCAATCTTTTATGTACAATCTTTATATAAACTGGGATAAACCCACAGCTAATCCACCTTGGTCTCTTGGGAACCACTGGATTCTTTAACCTTGGAGGTGAGGGGCAAGTTCCTAGCTGTGGTTTTGCAGTGACCACATGATTCAATGGTAAAGAGTTGAACCCACTCTGGTTCAGGCCTGCTTAGGTCAGTAAGCCTTGATTGGCAACAAAACAAAACAAAAACACATTTAATGTTATGTTTTGTATTTGGAAAACAAGGGGAGAAGCTTAAGGAAACATGCAGAAGCTAGTGATACCTAAACAAGGAGGTGCATGTAACAGACTTTCTTGAGAGGTAGGAACTCTGTTTTTATCAAAAAGGGATGGGAGTTTTATTATTTGGACAACTTTTTGCTTTTGGTTTGTAAAAGCTCTGTTGGTCTATAATAGGTGGTTCCTTACTCATGGGCTCCTTGATGTAGACCCTTAAGTTTGTTCTCTCTCTCACGGAGGATTATAGCCAGGAATATTCGCTGGAGCCCCAGAATCTGGGAACAAAGTTCCAGAGGGTTTCAATTAGAAAGAGAGCCCTGCCTGCAACCTTCCAGAACATTCCATGTATTTTCCAGCAAGGGAGTTAATGCAGTTTATTAACCCTCCAATTCTAACCCTTTCCCATGGCCCCAAACCAGGCCCACTCCACTCTGGCGACATCTGTACCCATCTGCCTTGGTCTTTTTCAGGCTGGAGCTGAACACTGAGGGACCTCAGTCTCCACCCCCTGTAAAGCAGTCTGAGCTCTCTGATGTAGGTGAGGACTTTTGAAGGACCCCATACAGTCCCATGGAAACACTTCTCTCTCCCCTTCTGCCCCTCCATTGCTTGGGTCGTTCCTTTCTCTTCTTACTTGCCCTGGGGAGGGGAGGCTGAACCCTGCTTTTTTGAGGCTGCTCCTAAATTCATGATAGTGGAGGAAGGCTCAGACATGCCCACCTTAGCCCCCTTTCTCCTTTTAGTTACAAACTGCCTGTAAGCTTGAATCCAGAATGAGAGACGAGGGC